TCTTTCGGCGAATTTAAAAAAAAAATTGTAAGAATAAATGCTATTTTCTATCACTTTATTTAAAATTTCATAAAAATAATTGAAATTCTGCGATAAGTTTTGTTATTAATGAAAATAATTGAATTCTTGTAACAAATTTTATTAAAAATCTTTTTAAAGAATTGAATTCCTGTGAAGAATTTTATTTGTAAAAATAATTGAATTTTAGAGAAAAATATTATTATTTATGAAAATAATTAATTTCTTGTGAAGAATTTTATTCAAATTTTTCTAAATAATTAAATTTTTCAGAATTTTTAAAAACTTTTTAAAAATAATTAAATTTTATTAAAAAATTGAAAATAATTGAAATCTGACAAAGAATTTAAAAAAAATTTTTTAAATAATTGAATTCCTGTGAAAATGTTTATTTTTGAAAAAAATCGAATTCTTGGAAAGAATTTTATTTAAATTTCATAAATAATTGAATTGCTTAGAAGAACTTTATTTTTTACGAAAATAATTGAATTGTTTCGAAGAGTTTTACAAACATTTTTGACAATAATTGTATTTGTAGAAAAATGTTGTATTTTACGAAAATAATTTTATTCTACGACCGACTTTATTATAATTTTTCAAATTTATAAAGTATTTTATCAAAATTTTTAAAAATAATTGAATTCTGAAGAAAGAAAATAATTGATTTCTAGCGAAGAATTTTATTCAAATTTTTTTAAATAATTGAATTCCCATAAAAAATGTATTATTTGTGAAAATAATTGAATTGTATAGGAAAATTTTATTAAAATTGCAATTTAATGAACTAAATCTTGTAAAGAATTTTGTCAACATTTTTTTAAATAATAGAATTATTAAAAGAATTTGATTTAAATTTTTCGAAATAATTGAATTTCTCAGACTATTATTTTCAATTGTCTTTATATATTTGAATTTTTTCGAGAAACTTCATTAAAAAATTTTAAATAATTGAATTATTGATGCGAAGAAATTTTTAAAAGAAATTGGTAAGTAATAATTGAATTTTGGAGAAAAATTTTATTATTTATAAAGATAATTGAAATTTTGACGAGAATTTAAAAAAAATTTTGAACATAATTGAATTTATGCGAAGTTATTTAAAAAGAAATTATTGTGAAAAATAGAAAAAATTGAAGGGTTTGTGTTAGAATTCTTGGCAATTTCATAGTTTATGCAGCAAACAAAAAAGACACCAAAATTCAGAATTTTCCTACAAATTCTAAAAATTTAATATTTTCCAGTACTTTTAGTAAAAATCCCTGACTTTTCCCTGACTTGTGGCAACTACACATATAAATGTCTTGGAAAAATAAGAAATCTGTCCTGGAATGTCCTGAAAATGTCCTGGAATTTTAAGTCATATTTTCAGTAGACACCCTGAATCGGCAACAATTTAATCCTTCTAGGATTAAATTGACACCACAAAGGATTAAAATAAGCCATTTTAGTGTTATTTTTGTTTAAAACTAAAATTTTTCTTTAAATCAAACACCAAGTCAACGATTTGTCAAAATTCGACGAATTTAGCTTCACCAGAGCTATAAATTTACTTATCAAATTTATAGACATTTCATTTTTTTTTTTTGCGTTCCAGTGATAATAATATTATAAACTTTTAGAATTTTAATGACTTTAACTTCAAAAAATAGAAAATTTAACTTTTTACTACTTTAAAATTTTTCTTCAAAAACTTGACTCTTCTTGGAGTTTTGTATAATTTTAATAAATAATTGTTTTAAAAAAGACAAAATTTTAGTCTGCATTATTTAGCTTTATTTGTAAAGGGCTTTTTATGCCCGTCTGAATTTCTACTTTATCAGAATTTTTATTTAATCAAATATTGTCATTTTTCAAAATATCCAGTTAATTCATGAAAATTGTAGATAAAAATTGAATTATTATTTAACCAATTTTTAAACAAATTATTGATGTTATTTACTAACTTTTTACTGAGTGCACCTAGAAAGTTTCAGTTTTTCCCTAATTTTGCAATTTACTAAATTCTTTATGATTGCAGAAAAAGAATAAAAAAGAATGCTAAATATATAATTTTTCGCAAATTTTGTGTTTTCTGTTTTAATTTTTGGAACTTTTGACCATATTTTCCATCTCATCAAAATAAAAAAACGCTATTTTCTTCTTTATAACAAAAAACGTAATATTTGTAAATAAATTAAAATGGTGTCTTATAGAGTTAATCAAAAACCTACAAATATAATATTTTTGAAGACATACAACAGTGGAATCTTTTGAATGCAAGCGCTGTCATAAAAAAGAAATAATTTACTTATCAAAATTTTAAACATTACATTTCTTTTTTTCATTCCAGTGATAATAATATTGGAAATTTTCAGAAAACACGTGTATTGATTTTGAGAAATTGAATAATATTTTACTTTTAACTGCTTTAAAATTTTTCTTTAAAAAATTAACTCTTTTCGATATTTTTTTATAATTTTAATTAATAATCATTCAAAAAATTTTTTAAACATGTCTTTTCCACGGTTTTGGTGTTTGAAAATAATTGTTAGGTTATAGCAGTATTTTCTCATTAGCACTTAGACAGAAGATATGTCCAATTAAATTAAAATTGAAATTAAATTAAAATTAACTTGAATTTCTACTTGACAGAATTTCTATTTACTCAAATTTAAAATCAATCAAAATATTTTTAAAGTATAAAATTAATTTTTAAAAATTATGACAAAATTTATTTTGTATATAAAATATGATCAGTGAATTTTCAATTAATGTTTTCTCATATTTTCATCGGAAATTTAATAAAAAAGCAAAGAAATCCAGAAAAAAACTTTAACGAAATAACAAAGCTATCATCGAACTAGTGTTTAAAAATTTAAATAATAAAAATTTCGTTTTAATTTTAATATTGGAGAACTTCATTGTATATTATTATTAATTGGGCGCAGAAAAAAATTTTTGCAATGTGATTCGTATAAAAATAGAAAGAATATTAAAAACGAGAAACATGTTTTCTTTTTGGATTTTTTTTGAATCTAGTAAAGGCTTTGAAAAAACTTGAAATTTCCATTTCTTAAAAATTAAAATTTTTTTTATTCTCTCCCAATACGTGGGACCCTGATAATTTTTTATGGAATATGATCATTTTACATTTAGAAGCCAGAAAAAAATTGAAAGAAAAAAAGACGCTGGGGTTTTTGAGAAAATTAGATTTTTATTTTTTCAGAAAAATCGCCGCCATTTTGTTAAATTTCAACATATTTTAATTTGACTTATGAGTTTTACAAGATCATATAAGCTACGATTAAGAACAAAAAAGAATTATTTTATTATAGATAAAAGGGAAAAAGATAAGACAATTTAAACAGAAATTTTGTGATACGTGTCAAAATTGTTTTTTATTGTAAATGTACATATATATTTTTTAGTTGCAAGTATTAAATGCAGTAAATAGAAAGGTATAGAACAATATTTATTTTTGTTTATTAATAATATTTTTACGCATTATTACACCAGAGTTTTCTGGGTCTTTGATTATCAGCTTTATATATTTTCTTTAAATTCAAAATTTTAAAGCAGTAAATGTGCATGAAATAAAATGAAAATTTTTTTTAATAAATACAGAGTGGCACAAATTTTAGAATTTAAAAATATATTTTGTTTACAATTTTTTATTGACAATATTAATTACATGTCTCATTAATGATAAATACTGCTCACAATTCTTAATTGATTAAAATTTTTTTCTAATACTCTGCATTAAATTCCGAACAAACGTAAGGCCCGAGCAGAAATTTTAATCGCGGCATTGTAAGTATTAGTTCTTATTTGTTCAACTATTGTCATTGCAAAGTTTCTAAACACATAAGTATGTAGTTTTTTTATTTTCTAACATTTTTTATAAAATATTAGATAACTTTTTATGTCAAAATTTTGATATTCAATTGGAATAATAAGCCCTACTATGTTCCTAGAGTACATTGTTTTGTTATTTGAATTGGAAATATTCAAAATATTAAAATCGACTTTTTCGACTTTTTTCAACTACAAAAGTCGATCCGAGGCCTGTCACTGTATAATTTGATAAGTTTTTTTTTAAGCGTATGTCCATTGCACTTTAAGACGGTGATTCTTGTCACAGAAGTGAAGGTCAATCATTTAAAAAATTTTTGACATTCTTTTAAAGTTGTTAGAGTTTTTTTATGAAACATAGCTTTACTGTAAGTCTTTAAAAGCACTATATTTGTAAATTTTTGATCAAATTTATAAGACACAATGCTAATTTAATTGATAATATTTCGTTTTTTGTTAGAAAAAAGAAAATATCGTTTTTTTTTTATTTTTATGAATTAACTGGATATTTTGAAAAATGATAATTTAACTAAATAAAAATTCTGATAAAGTAGAAATTCAAGTTAATTTTAATTCTATTAATCATAGCTTTTGCCTAAGTGACTCAAGCTAATGGCGACTGCTGTTAACCTACGAATTGTTATATCCAACTTTAAAACCTAAAAATCTCATGATTATACCATTTTTTACAAAAATTATTTACCAAATTTATAAAAAATTCCAAGAAGAGTCAAGTTTTTAAAGAAAAATTTCAAAGCAGTAAAAAGTTAAATTTTCATTTTTTTGAAGTCAAAGTCATGAAAATTCTAAATGTTATGACATATAAAAATATCTCCATCGAAAAATTAGTGGCATACTTCATAAATTTTGAGCCTTAAACCATGTTTTAACAATTATTTATAAAAATTAAACAAAATACCGAGAAGAGTCAATTTTTTAAAGCAAAATTTTAAAGCAGTAAAAAGTAAAATTTTTCAAATTCAAAGTCATGTATTTTCTAAAAATTTCCAAGAATATTATCACTGGAATGCAAAAAGAAAAATGTATTGTCTATAAATTTGATAAGTAAATTATTTCTTTTTTATGACAGCGTATGCCTTCAAAGGATTAAACTGCAGGCATTTGTTGAGTATAAATACAATCGAGTAACAAACAATTATTCACATTACTGCGAATTTTTAATTGCATTTCTTACATTTTATTTTTATTAAATAAACCATTTTATTAATGAGAAAAAAGTGCTAATACTAAATATCTAAGATTGAATCCAATTTGTTTAAAACAATATTATAGCTTAAAAGACAACATCAAATCAGTGGAAATATTAATAATATTGAGTAGTAATCTATTCAACATTTAAAAAAATGGCCCCTTTAAAATGTATTTTACTATTTCTTTTCTTTACTACTGATTTAGTAATTGGAGTGCGATATTCGAGCGGAGAAGTAAGTTTAACCAAATTAACATTTTATCATTCACTTTTCTATTTTATCTTCAATTTTTTTGTGAAACTTTAGTATTAACCATGGTAAGAAGCAAAACTATTTTTCAATGTTTATAAACTAGGGGCAAATTGTGACGAACCATAAATGAAGGAAAAAACAATTTTTTTCATATTTTCAAACTATGGGCAAAGTGTGGTTAACGATGAGATGAAGAAAAACTATTTTTTTTATATTTTCAAACTATGGGCAAAAAATGTCGAAGAAAGGAAACAAAAATTTTCTTCATAGTTTAAAAATGCAAAAAAAATAGTTATTCTTCTTCCCATGGTTTGTCATACTTTGCCTTTTAAGGCTACCTTAACGCTCAAACATTGTTTTAGGCCAATCTAAAGTAATAGACAAAGTTTCAGCTTCAAGCAAATCTTGAGCTTTAATTGAGCCTTGAGATAGTCAACATTTTGTTACGCGGGTTTCTTTGTGAATTTAAAGAAATTTACAAAAACTGATTACATTTAGGGTAGAATTGATCGTCGCATTAATAGGTTATTGGTACATCCACTTATAAAAAAATTGGTAGAAGAAGTGGAAAGATCTGGACTGGAACATGAAGGATTGTATCGCTTATCTGGTAGTAAAACTGAAGTACAAAAGTTGGAAAAAGATTGTCAATTTTTAGACACGGATATATCGCAATATGATGTAACTGCAATTACATCATATCTCAAAGAACTTTTCCGGTAAATTTTTATTCACAAAACATTTACTATAATGTAATGAGAGAGAAATTACGAAAAATAAAATTTTTTAGGAATTTGAGACCATCACTTATCGATGAAACAACATTCAATCAACTCTCAGATGCCTTGAAAATGGAAAATTCGGAAGACTTGAAAAATAAAATTACAGATATAATAATTAAACTTCCACAAGATATTCGAGATACTCTTGCTTACTTAATGGTACACTTGCAAAAAGTAGTAGAAAAGAAGGAGATAAATAGAATGAATCCTAAGAACATTGGTATAGTCTTTGGACCAACTTTGATGAATTCTCAGTATGATGACCTAATGGCAGCCGCTGCTTTAAATAACCAACAAACGAAGGCAGATAATTGTTTAATTTCAAAATTTGCAAATCATTAAGTTTTTAATTTTAGAATTAAATGACAATAGTTTTTTTTCTTTTCTTTCTATTGTAGATCATTGAGAAACTTTTGGAACTTCCATCAAGTTTCTGGAAGGAATTGATAAATTATGAATCGACTGTAAGTAATAATGGTGATCACTTTCCGGTGAATCTCGTAATAGTACTTCATAATTTACAGTTATATTTTTTCTCCTTCTTTAGAAAACTGAATCCAATGTTTCAATCTCAAAGGAAGACAAAGAAGGTGCTTGGGGTGGTGCTGCTTCTGCTGATGCTTCTGCTTCAGATGAGGTAATGATACACATATAATCAACAAAATGGGTGTTTGTAGGGTCATCAATTACGAGTTTAGACATTATTTTCCATTTTGAATTTAAATTTAAAATTCAAAATGCAGGATCCAAAGTAATTAATAATAATTTATTCTGTCTCCTGACTGTTTTCTTGAAAAGCATAAGACCTCGAAAAAAATACCAAGAAATTTCATAACATATATATATGCCAATAGAAAGCTTACCTTTTTCCCATGAGCCATGTAAAAATCAAAGTGGGACCTTGCTCCATATACCAGTACCTTTGGAAGTACGTATGGATTTTTTAATTGAATGTAAACTCTTATTTTTATAAACAATTTACTGCTTATTTTTTGACAAAAAATTAGAATTTACTCAAAAAGAGCACCATTTCTACAAAAATTTAAAAAAAATCATACGTACTTCTAAAAGTAATAGTGGGACAAAATTCGTAAAGTGGGCAACTAATTTTCAGTTGGTCAAGATTTTTTCATTAAATTTTTGTTTTTCTGTTTGAAATAATAAATAAAAAAGACAAGTTAAACAGTTTTGCAAAATTCGATTTTTTGTTGTACATATTGTTAAACAAACTTTTTTGCATAAATTTAGAAAAGTTTTTTTTTTTTTTAATAAAGTAATAGGTAAAATTTAATGATTTTTGGTATGATTATTAGAATATAAAAATAACACGATTTTTTATTATCATTTTTCATTTTAAACTTAAAAGTAATTTGATAAAATTATAAACAATTTATTTAAACAAATGAAAATAAATGCAACTTCTCGATCTGTTACTTTATTTTTCAAAATTGAATATTGTTCCTTATTTAATGCCCAAGTATTGCCAAAAATAAAAATTGGTATTTTACATTTGTTCAAAAGACATAAATAATTATGTTAATAACAATAAGCATTAAAAAATCTTAAAATCTTAAAAATATTTTTTTTAGCTTCATTAATTAACAAAATTAATTAAAAAAACCTATTAAAATAATGTTTGAGTGTTTCTGATGTATGAAAAAAAGTATAACAATTTATTAAATTGTTTAAACAATTAATTGTTGTTATTTTTTTAAATCTGCACTTAGGGCTAGAAATTTCTACTTTTTTCACAACAATTGTGCAATTTGTCATGAAGTAAAACATCTGCTAATAATAAAAAAAGAAATTAATTGAACATTGTCTAAACAATTAATTGTTTTTACATTTTTCATAAATTGTACTTGGGATTAGAAATTTCTAGTTTTTTCTGTATTGTGCATTTTCTTGTAACTACCACATTTAAGTATCAAAGAAAAACAAAAAATTAAAATATTTAAACATTGTTTAAACAATTTATTCTATTAATTTTTCAATTTACTGTACTTAAAACTATAAATTCCTAGTATTTTCTTAATTGTGACATTTTTTATATAACTTAAACACTTAAGTATAATAGAAAAACTAAAAATTTATTATTTAGCCATTGTTTAAACAATTTATTAAAATTTATTTTATTATTTTTTTATTTAATTTTTCAGTTGTTTGTATTTAGAAAAAACTAGATATCTCTGGCCCTAAGTAGACTTTATGAGAAAAATAACAATTAATTGTTTAAACAATGTTTAATTAATTTATTTTTTTATTTTTTATCATTACCAGATGTTTTACTCTTGACAAATTGCACAATTATTGAGAAAAAAATAGAAATTTCTAGCCCTAAGTACAGATTAAAAAAAATAACAACAATTAATTGTTTAAATAATTTAATAAATTGTCATACTTTTTTCATACATCAAAAACACTCAAACATTCTTTTAATAAGTTTTTTGATTAATTTTCTTAATTAATAAAGCTAAAAAAAACATTTTTAAGATTTTATGATTTTTTAATGCTTATTGTTATTAACATAATTATAATTATATCTTTTGAACAAATGTAAGATACCAATTTTTTCTTTTTGGTAATACTTGGGCATTAAATAAGGAACAATATTCAATTTTGAAAAATAAACAAGCATATCGAGAAGTTGAATTTATTTTCATTTGTTTAAATAAATTGTTTATAATTTTATCAAATTACGTTAAAGTTTAAAATGAAAAATGTCAATCAAAAACCGTGTTATTTTTATATAATCATACAAAAAATCATTAAATTTTACCTATTACCTTATTAGAAAAAAAAACTTTTCTAAAATCATGCAAAAAAGTTTATTTAACAATAACTAAAACAAAAAATCGAATTTTGCAAAACTGGTCAACTTATATTTTTTATTTATTATATTAAACAGAAAATCATAAATTTCATGAAAAAATCTAGACTAACTGAAAATTAGTTGCCCACTTCACGAATTTTGACCCTAGTATATAGCATATGAAATTTCTTGGTTTTTTGTTCCAGGTCATCATGTTTTGATATCCTTTGCATGGTGTGGTCAAAAATTGATAGGTTTGGCTAGTTGAAATCATGCGCATAATTTGCGCCAATGTTGCGATTATTAGGTTCCAGTACCAGAAATGTGTTACTTCAAATGACAAATGAAGAAATTTCCAAAAGTTTTTGGGTGGGACAACATAACAGGGCGCTAGATAGGCAAATTTAAAGACTGTTATTTTAAATAAAACAAACTCCGGAACATGAAAAATGTTAAAACTCCAGTATGTTAATTAAAATAAAAACTAATGTTAAAACTCCAATATAAAAATTTAAAATAAAATATTTAAAATGGAAACTAATTCTAATTCCAATAATTTTTAGATGGGACAACATACGCTAGATAGGCAAAGTCGTGGACAGTTATTTTGAATAAAACAAACTCCGGCACATGAAAAATGTTAATTCTCCAGTATTTTAATTCAAATGAAACTCATTCTTATTCCAATGGTTTTTAGATGTTTCGGAGTTTGTTTTATTTAAAATAGCAGTTTTGACTTCGCCTCTCTAGAGCCCTGTTATGTTGTCCTGTCTAAAAACTAGTGGAATAAGAATGAGTTTCCATTATGACGGTTCTTTTAATAATAAATTAAAAGTTATGTAAAATTCAATAAATCATTTTCCCTTATTCGTCAAAAATCAAAATTCACACCAAACATGGCTGTCAGACGCCAGTTAATTTAATTGTTGAAAAACTAACAAAAACAATAATTCAATAATGATAAAAAAAATAAAACAACACTTCTCTATAAGTCAAAATAATGTCAAAGGAGATTCCGCTGAGAAAAGTTAAGAAGGGAAAGTATAACCTTTTTGAAACACGACTTTTAACCAATAATTTTACTGACTATTTTCTTATCAATTTATCCTTCTGCTATAGTCAGGAATTTAGACAAATGAATCTTCTTTAAAGAAAACACAACAGAAATACACTTTCAAAAATAACACTTTTATTCAAACTAAATAAACTCTCTTTTAAATACAATCTTCCACTCCCCTACAACCCATGTCTATTCTACGAGATCACAAATTATAATTATAAAATATCTATAATCCTAGTCTAAAATACGTCTTCTCTATTCAACATCCAAAATCCAACTAACTCAAAAATGTGCTTTCGTCGTCTGCTACATTTTTCGCGAAACGCCGGTATACACTTGTCAAAAAGGGGAATTTACATTTCTTTCTGCGCCTTGAAGGCAAAAGGACTAACGCGCTAAATCCAAAATCAAATAATTATTAATTGAAATTATAATAATAAAAAGAAAATAAATAATGAAAGAAAGCAAATAATGAACATATCATGACGAAACCACTTCGTCACACCATATGAATTAGCATACTGGAGTTTTAACCTGACTTTAACCTTGACTTTGCCTATCTAACGTATGTTGTCCCATCCCTGGTTAAAAAACCGGACATATTTCGGACTAATCCGAAATTTGTCCGAAACAATGCGGTTTATGGTCAGGTTTTTGTCACCCGAAATTAATCCGGAAAAATCCGAACTCTATACGGTTTGTGAACAACTAGTGAAACCGGAGTTGGTCCGATGAAGTCAGAAATTAATCAGTTAATTTTAACTAGTGAATCCGGAATTAGTCCGAAACAGTCAAAAATTAGTCCAGACAATTTAGTTAATGTTAATAGAAAAATAATTATACAAGTTACACATATTAATTATTATTACTTTATGGTACATTCAACATATTTTTTCGATTTACCTATCGCAATTTTATTTACATTAACTTAAAATTTCTAACGCTTGGTGATTCGAACCTACACCTATATAACATTATATCGCACCGAAATCGAATACACTAACCACTATACCACGCTCGCATGGGAGTTCAAATTCATAATAGAATTTATCAAGTACCACGAAAAGAAATGACAAGAAACTAGCACATCAGTGTTAATTTTAATATTGAAACAAGATAACTAATAATACTAGTAAATTTGGAAAAACAAATTGACTGCAGAATTAAATATTTTATTTACCATAAGTAAATACCCTGAATAAAAAGTGGGACCGATTTCGGATTAATCCGGAATTTGTCCGCAACACTACGGTTTATTGTGGAGTTTTTTTTACCATGAATTAAGTTTGAAATCAATACCGTTTTTTATAACTATTGAATCCGTAATTAGTCCGGTTTAGTCTGCAGTTAGTCAGATCATATACGACTAGTAAATGCAGAAGTAATCCGGTTGGTTTAACCAGTGAATCCGGAATTAGCCCGATTACGGACTTAATTCATAGACATTTAAGGTTACTCCAGATTGATTTAGGATTCACAATTTCACTCGGATTGATGCTAGATTAACGCGGATAATTTTCGTACAATTATCGGACTAATCCACACTAATATACCCGGATTTAATCCGGATTAGTCCGAAATTTTTATCAGGAATATAATATGATTCGGGTGGCCGTCTATTACCGGATTCTTAGCATACATATTTCGGATTGTTTCGTATTTGTTTCCGAATATCATTTTACCACACTAATTCCGAATTGAAGCGGACTAATGTCGGATTCTTTGTGTACAGATTTCGGATTATTTCGTATTTGTTTCGGATTAT